ATCTGTAAAACAACGTGCATCTATCATGACACTGCAGCTGAAATAGGAGAGTGGCCATACAAGAGACAGAGTCTGCTCACCTTCCTGTGATATTCCTGCTATGATTTACACACTGAACATTGCTCTCCATGCCCCACCCCCCTACTCATTTACCCTTTTGCAAAGGCTACAGTCCTCCACGTCATAAAGACACTCATGTTGCTAAGCATGTGCAGTTATTTCTGTTCCTAATAGCTGTGTGTGCCAAGATGAAGTGGACCGGTACTGTGGCTAAATGAATGATATGAAATAATGTAAGTTTAAGACAAATATAGAAGTGAAAACGTACCTTTATCATGTTGGCGGTGAGACCGTTCCACAATGAGAGCACGCCTTTGTTTCTCACCACCTGCGTGAAACAGTCGATCATCCCGTTGAAATGGACGTCAACACCACCACAATGTGGAAGACGAGCACTCTGCGCCTGAGAGGAGAATAAAAGTGATATTTTAAACGATAAATCACGATGAGTCTATTAAGTTCTAATCAGAAATGTCAAGGAAAGCATGACCCTGATGAAGTGACCCCCCCCAGTCTGTCTTTACTATACTGTCTGATCATCTTTCTCTTGGGAGTAATTTTATAAGCTTCTCATTTCAACTTTTAAGAGCAAATGAGTGAAATCAATTGTTTGAATGTAAAATGCATGAATATAAAACACAGGACCAGAAAATGCCAAAATCTAAAAAATGTCGATGGATAAATATTAAACAAATTTTAGTGAGATTGACATCAAAGATGTAGATAAGGTAGAAAACATGGCGATATATAATCACATTAACATAATTAAGTATGTAAAAGTTCACAGGAGTCACATGGTGTCCTGTGCTCTTCTCTGCAGGCTGACTGTCATGTGACGGAGGAATGCTTCTTGCAGTTTCATGGTTGCTAAAGGGAACATGCAGCCTTAATGATACTGGACAATTCAAACAGCTCGTGTTGCAGAGGAGGCATAGAGCTAGTTAACCAATACTCAGCTTAAATCATTACCCTGAGCTTCAGTAAACATCCTAAGTGGTTTTCTTATCATCCATCTCTGACTGACTTGTAATGTTGAACTCTTAAAGACAAGACAAGAGCTGAATCCCTGAATGAAATGACAATGAAATAATATTCTTCATTGGAAGGTGACATCTGATAGTTTGATGAGCTGGACGTACACGACACTGATTCTGACCACTGTCTGATAGTCGGTGTCTATCTTTAGAGAACTTATCTATAGCTTGTGCAGACCCAGGACACATTCACATTCCCAGCTGCTGTTGAACCTTGTGGTTACTAATAATAGACGATTAAACAGGAAGTAGAATTCTGTCCTTTGCAGCGCCATTGTTCCCCGTGTGTCCTTTCTAACATGCAGCAGGGACAGAGGTGATTCAAAACATACTGACATTAAATTTGCATTCAATAATTTTATTTCAGTATAAAGCTGAAAAATCTGCAACAAATAATATTTTGGTAAAAGAATTACAACTTTCCACGTTCAACAAAAAAGATGAGCGACCAAGTAGGGGAACTTCACTGCCCCCCTATGGACTAAAGGTGGTAATACGACCTAGTGAACCTGCTGAAGTAAAAACTTGTTGAGCTTAATTATCTTATTTTTAATTAATGCAGTTAACAAATAATGTAGGATTTAATTAACAAGTAGGAGAGAATTATTTGATTTAATTGAAATATCTATCACATTATTTCCAGTCCCATCTCTATGCAGTTGATTGAAGTCAAGTAGAGAATCTCAGATGTCTTGCAAATAAACCTTTTTGAGTTAAACTTTGAGTTACTCAAGTGTATAATGACTATTATAATAACTATCACAGTTCTGTGTCTCCTTATTCTCATTCTTGTATTCATTTATTTTTGCAGTTTTATTTTAATGTCTTTGTTTCAGTTCAACTAAAAGCCACAGGCCCCCTGCAGTAAAGGAGGTCTGGTGAACTTACTTGCATTTTCCTTTTCACTGTTTCAAACGGGTACGAGAGGGTTTGAGATACTCCTGCTGCAAGACAGCCGCTGATGAAGTTCTGGAGGGGAGTACAGCGAAAAGGCGGCTCCTGCCAGAGCTTGTCCAAGTTCATGTAGACTGCATAACATCCGACAGAGAAGGGAAATGCACCTGGTGAAAGTTACGGTGAAATGAATCATTGATGAAATGTGTAAAGCAAATGAGGGGAAGATAGAGGATGAAGAAAAAAGCTTCAAGGGATGGATTTTTTATATTTTTCTCAGTCCACCAGAACTACATGACTGATAAATGCACTAGATGAAAACCAAAGTTATTTCAAAAACGTCAGCTACTTATTGAGAATGAATGACTCTGTATGAATATGTATACACACCTAAAACAGTGAGGGAGAAGCCCCTGTACAGAGCCAGAAGCCCCTCACTCCTGTAGATCTTTGAGAGGGTGTGAACTACGCCGATGTAGGTGGGCTGTCTGCAGTTCTGAGCAATGAGCCTGGTCTCCACCACCTCCAGTGGGTACGTGACCAGAGCAGCAGCAACACCGGCCAGGCCCCCGGCTAATATGGCCCTCCACTGTGAGATGAAGCCCAGTTCGTCCATGTGAAGGTGGACTATCCTGCACACAGGAACAAGATTAAATGTTTAAGCCATTAATGTAAAGTGAATTAAATAAATTCCACCATTGGACTTAAGTACCAGACACGTGCTGGTTCCAACCTTTTAAGTTTAACTTTCTTAACTTTTGGTTAATCGATTACCCAAAATGCCAAACATTCACCGGTGATTGATTCTGAGATGTGTAATTCTAGGAATTCCTCATCATTTTCTGACAAAATGATAAACTGATTAAATAATTAAATAATTGTTAGATTAACAAAATACTAATGAATATATTTGTTGGTTGCAGCTACAGCAGAGATAAAACAAAGATCTATTTTGGTTTTGGGAGACTCATGAATATTTCAGACCTTTGCAGAATTAATCAATTACATGATTAATTAAATTAGAAAAATAATTGAAATACTAATAAAAAATATTTGTTGTTGTTGCAGAACTACTTTTGTTTCTGATAAAAACCTTGTTTATTAATGTTATCAATCATCTCCATGTGTTTTGTCTCATTTAAATGTTTTTTTAATTAATTAATTAATTAATTTCATTAGCCTGATGACAGGTCCATTTGTTTCACCTCTACTGTTCCTGCCATGTATTTTTAAAACCATGAAACTATATACTTCTGTAAACCAGCAGATGAGTGGCCCTGATCATGTCTGCAACGAAGGCACAGAGGAGAGGGGGGGTTTCTTTCCTGGAACACGGTGTACTGTTCAGGACAGAGGTTTGTGGTGCAGGGGTGTTTACATGAACACGTGTCCTGAGGCTGGGGACAGACACACACACTGTGGCAGCTTCATACCTACAGACAGTAGATAATGTGTTTATGACACATGGATGGATTATGTTCCTCATACACCAGCATGTTTACATTTCAGCCATAGTGCTGTAGGTATGTCTTGTCCTCTAGTAACCCAGTGGAGGAAACAAGCAGCTGTGTGCCCTGAGTTTAGCCTTGCAGGCAGCAGTGACTCCTTCCAGGATGTGTCCATGTCTATAGATATGAGCAACCTGCAACTACTGCTAATCAATGGCCATCCTATTTCATATGCTTCTTATTTAATAGCGAATTGTTCATTTGATTGAATGTCACGCAGCAGTTGCCTTACTCATTATAATTAGTGTTGTGTCATAAAAATGGTCAAGAACCAAAAAGTATTTCATGTTTAAATTGAAATTTCAAATTTGATACAGAAGAAAAAATATTCACTTTTGAGAAGGCTTTTTGATATTTTATTGCTAAAATCATGGCTATTCATCGTTATTCATAATTAGTCAATGGACAGATATTCTACAACTGCTGATTAATCATATGGTAATTTTCCCAAAAATCACCAGCAAAGCCAATTTGCTGCTCTTCTTTAATTTATAGTCATAGTACAATAGGTTCAGGTTTAGCTGATATTAGACAAAACAATGAATTCGTCATCTTAATATTCAGGGACTATGTGCCACAAGTTTATGATAATTAATGACCTAACTGCCATTCAGGTAATCGAAAAAGTAATAATCAAGTAGCTTTTTTGTCTGTTATACATCAGAAAAAAATAATTCACCAATCAATCATTAACTATCAAAATAGTTGTAAGTAATAGCTGTACCAGACCTAATGAATACCTGTATATATATATATATATATATATATACAACATACTACCCAATATACCTGCGAGACCAAGCTCAGGGGGAAAAAAACTCTCTGTGCAACTTTAAATATCGACTGAGCGAATCCTGCCTCCTCATTGGCTAAAATACCAGCGCGCCCGCCTCCTGCAGTAAAACAGGAAGTAGGTGTTCCGCTGCACAGAAAATCAAATAAACAAGTTAAAACGAACATTTCGTGTTGATTTTGTCGCGTCAAACAAACAACAAACAGTCATCGTGTCTGCTCGTTATGTTTCCACTGAATGTTACACGTGTCATCTTCTGTTTCACGACACACAAACTAATCAACATCAGCTGACTAACCAGCTAATAACCAGCTTCACTAACCACGTGAGACCAGGTGACAACAAACTGAACCAGCAGCAGTGGATTTAAACTCACCTTCTGTAGGTGGACAGGTGAACTGCGGTGTAGGGAAAGAGCCGGAGACACGAGGCGACGTTTCCCTTCCAGAAGCCCCGCAGTCCCTCATTCTGGTAGATGAGGAGGAAACTCTGACAGAAACCTCTCTTGCAGTGAAAAGTTCCCACCTGACTCTTGATCTTCACCACCTCCAGAGGAGAGGTGACGCTTTTACTGAAGACCCCAGAGAACCCGGTGCACAGGAAGCTCTGAGAGGCGGTCAGCCTGTTGTCCTTCATCACTGTGTTGTTATGATCCCGCAATCATCCCACTAACATCCCGCTAACACCCCGCTAACATCCCGCTAACATCCCGCTAACACCCCGCTAACATCCCGCTAACACCCCGCTAACACCCCGCTAACATCCCGCTAACATCCCGCTAACACGCCACGGTCCCTGCACAGTTTGTTTACCCAAGTGTAGAGAGGCAGGGAGGGATCCGTCTCCGGCCCCGAGCTGCGGTGTTGTGTGACACACTTAACTAACGTCACTCGGGACCCAGGGAGGTGAGCTGCAGATACGCCACATCAACACCAGGGGGCGCTCTTCACGTACTATTCAAAGAGTCACTTGTGGAAGTTATGACCAAGTAAATGTAAGGTTGAAAGTTAAGTTCATTTTATGTGTTTATGTTAATTTACTAAAATGTGTATAAAAAGGTTTACAGTTAAGTTATTTACATATTTATGTTTACGCATTCATTCTTTACATATTTACACATTTAAATATTGTTTTAAGAACAGGAGTGAGGATGTGTTGAATCTGCCTCTGTAGTTCTATGACCTTTAACTTAGTCTGAGGCCTTTCTAGCTTTACTTGGTTAGTTCATGAGGGTGAGAAGCAGGAAGTGTGTGTCGCTGATGTGATGACCAGGGATGACAACAGTAAAGTTGTTCCTCTACATTAAGAGTGATCCAACTACCCCACATCGAACCCTCACGTTACACAATTCAATTCTATTCAAGCGTTTGTTGTCACTGAACAGCTGTACAATGAAACTTAAGTACCTGTCAGTGGTACAAAGAGTTAAAACAGTTAAAAGAAAACAAAGATCGAACACGCAATATGAAAACAACGCATTCCAAAAAATTACAAATCATAATTGTTAGTTTCATTGATGCAACATTGTAAGTTAAAGGTCCAGTGTGTACGATTTAGGTGAAAGGGATCTGTTGGTAGAAGTTGAATATAAAATATTTCTAGTGATGTTTTCCCTAGTGTGTTTCATCTAAATTGTACAATTTGTTTTCTTTACTCATTAATCTAACACATTTTTGAATGAGCTCTTTATATTTACATCAGGAGCAGGTCCTGAGGCTGACACGTTTTTTTTACAGTAGCCAGAACTGGACAAACTAAACACCTTATGAGTTTTTATGACAACTGAAGGCTGCTACAGGTTCTCTTTCATGTTTGCAGGAAAAGGTGAGGTGAGGGGTGAAAACTTGACGACTCAATATCAAGAGTGTATAAGTGTAAGTATGTTGGTGTGTACGATTTTTACACTTTATAATGTTTGTGTGTGAATATAGGCACATAAGTGTGTATATAAGTAATCTGTATATAAGTGTGACGTGGCATAAAATAGTCAAGAAAAGTAGAGTATTGTTCTTAACTTCAGTACAGTAATTACCATTGTTTACTTTTCCATAGTGTGTACAGTCAAATTGACATCATACAAAAGTGTATTTTTCAGTAGTCATGCTGCCTGTGCTCTTCCAGTAAATATTGACTAGTGAATTGGTTTGAGTAGTCAACTTAGACCATTTTTTCTTATTTCCCTGGAAGTATTTCAGGACTGAGTTGGGTTTCATTGTCTCCATAGGTGGCGCAATAGGCCAACATGTTGGCTTGACGTGACAGAAACTGGGGTGAAGTAAGTAGTAACTGCTAATTAGTTTCACAATTCGTTTATTTAGTTCCTGGTTTCATGTACAGTCAAATGAACAATGTTTTTTTCTGGTTTAATATATCAAAAGTTGACATTTCATATAAAGGTCAGCATATAAACTTAAACAGGATGGTCTATTGTTAGTAAAATCTATATGTAACCCATGAGTAAAAAGAGGACACTATAATTGTTACATGTTACAATGTATCGTAGATACATGCTTCAGTTTTGATATGTACTGCCAGCCTGGTCTATAGTCAAGGCCGACAGACTGGCAGTTTTTAATTTTTCATCTAGGTTCCTCACTGTGTCCTTATGTGGATTGAAACTGTAAATTGTCGACACATTCCTGGACCAGTCAGTTGAATTAAATGTCCATCACTCTACTGAGGGAATACATCAGGTCTGATTCCCTGTGTAACTGTATTTATCAGCAGGGATCTGTCGTCACTGTCTTGTTCCAGCATCATGTTTGTTTTCTCCTTGTCTCGACCCGCTGGGAGCGCCTCCCTCCCCTGCCGGGCTGACAACCTCAGATGCACGCCAGGAGCCCACCTTCTGTCTGCGGCTGGACCACTTGGCTGCTTCACAAAGGCCTTTCTGGAATGACAGAGCCCACCAGAGGAAACGACAGCTTGATCACAAAAAGTCCCTGTGTGACCGTGATACTGGCTTTCACCTCCGAAAACTCAAACATCTCATTCTGATGTGGTTCGAAGTCATTGCAGAGGTGGTGGTGCAGAGCCAATTACTGCTGGGCAAAGTTCTTACACACTCAAGTTACATTTCCTATTAGATGTTCAACCAATAAAGCTACTAGTTTGAAGTTCACAGGGTAATTGAACATGGCAAATGAATACAAATTTAGAGGGCTGTATGATAAGGGTCAGGCTGGTAAGAGGATCTGGAGTCATTTACTTGATCTAACAGAAGAAATGTCACAGTAGGAATAAATTCATTTTTCCCGCCTGAATGATAAAAACGCTCACTTTGAATATCCTTTGATGTCACTGTCATATGTGCGTGCAGTTTGTAAGACACAAGATAATGTGATGGTTTTCTTTAAAGATAAGTGGTGTGACGTGGACTCATGCTGCATCTTATCAAGTAATGCTTCAGCGATCAAGCAGGACGCCACCGAGAATCTGCTGCCCCTCTGTCTCCTTGATGTCCTTCCTCTGCCCCTCACATTGTCACTATAGAATACAGATAGAGCACTGCCTTCTTCCTGTATGTATAGCCCCCTCCTGAATGAGCACTTCCTCCATGCAGCAAGTGTAGTGCGGGAGCAGCCTGCATGTCTTTGTGTCTCTACTGCTGGGCACGTAGCAGTAGGTGTAGGCTGGCTGAGGCATTGTCATTCTCTGGATGACATGCGCAAGTCATCCATTGATCTCCCACTTTGAAGTGCATCGCTGCAGGACCCGCGAGAGCTGTCTGTGTTATGTTGGGGGCTCACGGTGGTCAACAGGGGGCGCCCAATACCAGAGAGGCCTGAGGCCTCACGACTGGTGCCAGGCTCATAGACTGCAGCAATAAAATTCTCACCTCATTATCTGAGACAGTCACATCACAGGCTTGTGTTGGCAGGGGAGGGGAAAGGGAAGAAAGGGATGAGATGGGATGGGGGAAGGGGGAAGGGGAACAGTCTGTCTGTGTGTCTGTGTGTGTGTGTCTTTTTTTCAAGGGTCAGAGGTTGTATTGGTGAGAATCATCAGGCATATGTACAATTCACTGTAACACCATTTCGACACCTCCACCGACAAGGCCAAACTGCCGTGCTCCCCGGCTCACTCAACAGGAATAGGAGACTTGTTATGCATAGGAGCCTAATTTTGGGCTAATGGTTTCTGTGAAGTGTTAAACTGTGAAAGGATGTCAGGGTTTGTTAGGAATAGTAAATGCAATTTTGCACCTCATTACCGGGAACTATCTTTATTACAGATATTTAAACTAGTGTTATCTCAGCCCTGCAGACCGCTGAGTGTGCTAACATACGTCGCACAGAGTGTAGAATCAGCCATAAATGTGTAGCCTAAAGGAAATTATCTGTGTAATCATTGTGGAAGTACTGATCCATAACTTATTAGATAATGTAAGATTAATTTCACCCAATCTGTGGTCCATTTTCCATTTAGTTCTGCATCTGCTGTTGCTTTTTTAAAAAAAACAATCCTGAGCCTCACCACGAAAAACACACACATCTAAAGTTTAATGCAGAATTTGTGCAAAAATATCAAATTTTGTTATTTTTTTAAGGTGATTTCTGTTTTCCTTGTAAGAACCTAATAAGGGATGATGCATTATCTGTTTAGTCAGGATGTGGATGACCAGGAGGCCCATTGTCTGTGAGGATGCAGAGGAGAACTTCTGGCAGCTGGTGTCCCCTTATCTTCCCATGTACAGCCAATAAATCAATATCAAATCTGAGGAACAGGAAGCCAGATGGCCTTCCCACAACCCACGAGGCCAGGGCGCTCTCACAGCCTCCTCGGCTACTGTACCACCGGTGCATGCAGCAGCCCTTTGAAGACATACACATTCAACAAGCGGCTCAATGAATGACTAAAGGGAACAAATAAGCTGTTACGACTCTGCTCAAATCAGTGTTTGTGTTTCCATCCACATCAAAGGACCAAGTCTGTTTGATATGCGGCCCCCACACCTTGATCCGAGCCACGTACAGGTAGAGGGGAGGAGCAGTCCATTGAGAAGGCAGAGGGTCATGTGGTTGCCTCTCTCAGCCCTGGCTCGAGGGTAGTTGACCCAGACGAAGGGTCTGGTGGTGTCCCTTGTTCCCCAGGGAGCTATTGCTCCTAGAGCTATTGCTCACTAGACACGTTATTTATTGGTGAGACTATTGATTACATGCTTAAAATGATTATTCAAAGGAATTTGGTGTAACAATTACAAAATAGAATACATACTAGATTCAAAGATTAAAATAAACACTATATTCGCTTCAATGAAGATAGCAAGGTGACAGGGTTGTGTAGTAACCAATGGTTGGCTCGGAGTAAGGTCAGTAAGGTCAGTTACCTAAATACATCCCGCCAGAGTCATCTTGATTTCTGTGTAGGTCAGGGGTCAGGTTAAACAGTAGTTTGATTGAATGGCTGTTCACAGGCCAGTGTGAAATGCCAGCTCTATTGCAATGTGGGAGTGGAAAGGTGGGGGTTTCTCTGGCCTTTGTGTGGCCCGCGGTCTTAGAGCACGGACCCATTGTTAGAGGCTGACCAGCCAGCCCCTCAGACTCTCCCTCGCTCTGCTTTGTCTCAAGCAGCGTGACCATTTCCTTCATCCAGGTCAGGGCAGGGTCGTGACTTTGGACACCAGTCTTCTCTGTCTGTCTGCGTGGCTGGCAGACTCATAAAAGTACGTGACGCAGACAGATGTTCTGCTATCACATGTCAATGTTAAAAAGTGTTCAGCATTTTCTTAAAAGGATGCTCCGGTATAATCTTTAAAAAATCCTAGCAGGAAAACTAAACGATATCTCCGCAAACATAGCTAGCAGGAACTAACATACAATAAAATAATAATGTGAGACTGGCATCCTGCATATCACAGACCTACAATGTACCGGTCAGAACATTTATGATCAATATAATTTGCACGATGTGAGAGTGTCAAACACACTAGCACACGCACAGAGCTGAGACAACCTCTTTACTGCCCTGAAGTGTCCAAGTTATGCAACTGTGGAGGTTTAGAAGAGCGGACTGCACCCTCCTTCTGTCCCCAGGCTGGACCAGCCTTATCACGGCGATAAGAAGAGGAAAGGCCAAAGGGCCATAAGGAACAGTGTGCATGGTCCAGGTCAACAGTGTGAGGAGGCTGGACTCAAAGGGGAGGGACGGCGAACAAGAATATTATCTGATAAGAATCACCAAGGTCTTTTGATCTTAGCGGGGCTGATCCTGGGCTACAGGGTGCCATGCTGGGCAGACGAGCAGAACGACATGGCAGGTACAAACAAGCAAGGTCTTGAAGATCATCTGGGACTAAAGCATATTTACACAGGGAAGACTGGAAGGATTCTTCTGACTCAGACATGAACATACAAGCTTTTTGTCCTCAAGATTTCCCACTATAGTGTCATTCTTACCGTGCTGCCCCATCATGTTAACATGGCTACATTTCTGGTAGAGCTAAGACAACCCATAATACCAGGCTATTAGCAAAATCAAAAAACACAAAATGATGCAGCGTGTTGTGACCTATGCAAGCCAAAATCAGAGAGTCAATTCAAAATACAGAAATGCCTATGAGAAGAGACGTTTGAATGTCACACTGTTGTCTGGTGGGTTTTGTCTCATAAGTCACAGATTAAAAGCTGTCATGTGGCGGCCAGACAGAACCTGAGGCCGATGTGCAAGCTGTGGCCTGAACCAAATGCCTCGCTTACTTGCCAAGGGCAAAATGGAGGAGGGATTTTTTTGCCTGGAGTGGCCATGGGGGGGCTTAGCAAGCTGCTGCAACATTTAAGTGTCCCTGGTTTCCCCTTGGCAACAGTTAAAAACAAAAGAGCAGATACACATGTACTTGTTGCTAAAGCCTCTTTTACAGAACAAGGCCCGGTGAGGTGCCCAAAAAGAAACTTGATGATATTCAATATTTATATAATTATCGATACATTTCAGAATAAGACCAGAAGTACTGCCTGTGTTGTTAAAACCTCTGTTTTAACACCTGTCTGTTTACTGATAACTAATACCAAGTTGAAAAGCTACACACTTTCAGTCAGAAAGTTTTGATAGATGGATCAAAGCACTTTTGGTTTTTCCCTTGGATTTATCATCAATGAATGAATTCAAAATATTCAAAATAACATCAGATTTAAGGTTGAGCCTTTACAATATGGATAAAAACATTTCCCACAGTGAGCAAATAACATCAATTTTATCGAGAGAAACATCAAATATTGTAATACTGTATTGACCATAGCACCAAATGTATATTAATACACAGATGAAAATGGTCCTAAATAAAATCACTGTTTTAACACCTGTGTGAAAAGCGATTACTAAAAAATGATAATTGCACAATTCTTTTAGACTGATTTAAAAAAGGGATATTAATCTACACATTTGTGATCGATTTTTAAAGCCGAACATCTTCAGTAGAAACAAAAGCCAGAGAGAGGAAGAGTTAGAAAGTTTTGATGGCAGAATACTGTCAGCTTTATATCATAATCAGGTTATTTCCAAATAATCAAATGATACCGTCCCAAAGCCACAGAGCACTGATTTAGTGACACGGGATTTACGCCGGCTAGCGAGGTCTCTATTTAATTTAGGTAAATTTTCACCTCAAGACTTGAAATTAAGGATAATCTCTCTCTAATTTCACCTTTAATTCACATCAAGCCAAGACAACGGCAGCAACCTGTTACATCCAAGCTCCAATTAAAAGAGTTAAGATGTAAGAGGCGTCCATTATCAGCTCCCTCTGAAGGACATCAAAGACCGAGGTGTAGTGAGAGTGCAGCTGCCCTGACGGTGTGAGTTTCTCCTCTCTCTCACTCCAGAGGAACTTGTTTGTGTTGAGGATGTTTACTGATCCCAGGAAAGGCAAACAGCGTCTCTCTTGTTTGTAGGTACTGCCGGTCAAACACAGTGTTGCATTTGTGTGCGTGCGAGAGAGAGACAGAGACAGAGAGAGAGGAAGAGCTTCAGGATGTATTGTATTGTCAGGTCGGTGTTTATCTTGTCTCTGTCATTTCACTCCACCACCAAGTTTCCCATCAGACCCTGATGCAATTTATCACTGAGAAATAGAATTATTAAAAACATCCCACACGACAAAAACAAACATCGCAAGTCTACAAAATGTAAAATATCTTAAATCTGCATCATCATTAGTACTAATACTTTCTGATTATGATATGACAAATTATGGTTTGAATAACTTTACCTTTTAATAATAAATGTGTCACTCTGTCACATGTAATCAACAACAAATCAACTATCATACTGCAGGATAACTGTATTTATCCTATTTAAATTGCTTTACTTTCTCCTAAACTGACCTTACTGTTTATATAAATATAAATATTTTATCTTGTTAATAATCTTATTTCATTCATAACATTCTCTATCTCTGTGTCTGTGCGAACGTGAAGATTTGTTATTTTTAAATCAAATTCTTTGCTGTTATTTGATTTTAACAGTTTCAGTTTTTCATTTTTAACTTGAAAAGCACCTTGTAACTGTGTTTTGAAAGGTTTATATTAATATTATTATCATCATCAACATTATTATTACTCATATTATTATTATTATTATTATAAATATGAAGAGTTGAGTTATAATACTTGTCCTGAACACATGGTGTCACTCTTTCACATCTATACAGACGGTCACTGGAGTTGGACCCTCAGACTTTTCTGTCCCAGACGCTTTGTTACCACATTTATCACAAACCATCATTCTGTCAACTTGTGTTAATAATGTTTTATGCTTTTTTGTAATAACTCTGACAGCCAAGAGTGTTGCCATGAAATACAAGCACTTGTAATTCGTGTGGAGTACTTAAAAGTTATAGTTCTGCAAA